GTTCACAAAATAAGGATACTGTGGTTAGGCTTGCCAGCTGAGAAAAGGTCGCTCCTGTATAATGAATGTCACGTGAGTAACAGCCCGGATGCTCACATCCGTCCACCAATGTCCTGTTCTCGCTGTCGTGACTTATTACTGTCACGCCCTCTCCGTCTTTGTCTCTCATGTCACAGGTGACATGGTAAGGAGTCAATCCTCCTTCACCATCAGGATCAATCAAAAAGTTTCCACTTATCGCCTTGGGATCGAGCCTCTTCAAGTCACTGCAAGATTTCGATAACACTGTGCAGAGAAAAATGCGAAGTGTTATTGAAAATGAGACTCCTATCATTAGATTGTTTGCCTGAACGTGGCTGGCATTAAGTTATCGAACATTTCCTTCCAAGAATCGATATTACTTCGCCATAACAGTTGATGTCGCATGTAAGTATAATGTATTAGAAAAAGTGCTCGATCATTATTCAACACTGTAGATGTGGTGTTATCCTTTTGACTTAAGTTCTATAAACAACGTTATACATGCCATCAAAACGTTCTAAATTTTCCTATTACAATTTGAAGAACCAATTTAAAATAAAATTCATTGATTTTCTGGCCTCATGAAAATCTGGAATTTTTAAAAAATTACAAGGAAGGAACCACAATGCCCCGCTCCTCTTAGAAGACTTAGGCTGTCAGGAGAACAAATTCTTGGGAGATTACTGGAGAGGCAATAGAATTTCATCCGAGAACTGTCGCAGGAATCCTAGTCGTTTCATGCGCTAGTAAGCTGCGGTGGTGATGTGTTCCCGACTGAGCTCAGCAGACCTGACTTGAGCCTCAAAACGAAGGTGCTTTTGTTATAAAAGGTACAGGTTTTATCTTTAATTTCGCCCCGTTACAAATGTCGCAAGTTCACGTTGACAACATCAATATTTAATTTAAATGTTAAATGATTGAGGAAGATTGAACGTTATTATTTGTGGTAAAAACTGTTGAGGACTTTAAGGAGCTTTTTTGTAGCGATTAACAGCTTTTTTTTCTATTTTTGCTTTGATAGTCAAATTTGTTTCTTAAATATTCAGGATCAGGGAAAGCTTGACTGAAAATAAAATTTTACAATACCAGCACAATTTGCCCCAGCAGATCCGGGAACACAGACACATCGATATCCTTTAGTGGTAAAACCTACTTGACAAATTCCGTTATTCAAACAAGGATTGTTAGCACAAGGATTCTGTGGAAAAAAGGAAAGCATTGAAGTGATTGGAAAAGGATCCAGACCTCTGAATCATTGGAAGCAAAAATACGGTGAAGCACGACGAGTTGACAGAACAATTTTCACAGAAAAATACCTGTGCAACAAGGACTTCTATGCAAACCTTGTAAAAACCGTTTTTTGTCTCATTGCTCTACAGACCTAGCTACTTGGCCGAGGAAATTTTTATCCTCGAAGCTACTGTGAGATACCTACTGCAAATGCTTATACGCCGATCAATTCGAAGCTTCACCATTCCCCCCCTACCCTTACATCCCTTTGCTAGGAAATTTGAACCTTGCGCAAGTGTAATAACTTAAATTATGATCCATCAAATCTTTTTGCTCGCATGTGATTGGTCTAAACGCAGCACTTTTCGAACATCCCCCAGCTAAAACTGGGTGACATCTGAGATTATGATCCATCAAACAAAATAGCTCGCCAGTGATTGGTCTATACGCGTCATGTGGCCGAATGTCCCCCAGAAGAAGAAGGAAAATCTTTTTTGTTCATAAAGTTTGTACCAGAGAACACTCATAAGAGATCATCCCTCGCTGGAAACAATAAGGTGTTCGTAAACGTGCGTTGCTGAGTATTTGAAGGGTTTTATACACAATAGATAAAAAACGTCGCATCTTGGAACAGACAATATCCGCGGACAAATCTTCATACATATTTTAGCGCCAAATAGAGGCTATTGTTAATATGTAAAGATGTTTAAAGGTAAATAATTCACTTTTGCGAGTGGATGGCTTGGAATAAAGGTTTACAAAGTCAAACTGAAAGTCACGGTCGCTGATGTTGCCTTTTGCAAAAAACAGTTTCATCATTAAATCCGGCACTTGGGTAGCGCATTTGAACATAACTTTGTCTCGGGAGGCGGGTACTTGAACAAACCAAACATGAAAAGATCAAATGCCCGGAGAGGTTACCTGGGGAAACGGTAAAGCCTCGAAGTGATCGATGCATTAAGGGGGAAAAAGAAGATTCGATCAAATACCTAATCAGCTTCACTTCTTTCTTACTTTTAAACCATTTTAACCAAAAGTTACTACACTTCATAATTTCTCTCCATCGAAGGAGTGGGTGGTTTCATGCATGCTCTAAAATTCCTAAGTCGTCAAAATAACCCATTGATGTAAAGAATTTACCTCAATCGCCAAGTAGTAAGAATCCTTTTCTTGAAGAAAGATGAGTTGGTTTTCCTCAGCTGTGGCGTTATTTAATTCACATTTGTATTTTCCTTCATTTGAAGGTCTTACATTGATGGAGACACAATTAGGCTCCAAATAACACAGCATACGGCAATCCCCTTCATAAGGTACCTCCTCACCACTGACCACATGATCCCTTATAGCCTTATTTGGTATCGGTTCCTCGAACACGATAACGCGGTATTCGTCACCTGTTAAAGAATAAGACCTTAATTTCGATCTTCTTTTTCAAACGGATCACTCTACAAAAATGCGACAAAAATGCTTCAAAAAGTACTTCATATACTTCGTACTCAAAAGTACTTGATTAAAAATGACTTTGACATGACATGTTTTAATTAACTGGTGTCAATTTGATGCTCCGATGTTCGTAAAGTCGATTTAAACCATTTGGTAGAGTTTTTCCTCAGATATTTGCCTTCTCATTTTGATGGAACCACAAGAAAAAAACAAATAAGTCATTTTTCTTTTTTTAGACGATTTTTTATTTTGGAAGCACTCTCGTCTTCAATTAGTCGTAAATGGCTCAAACGGGTATCGAATACAGTGTTTGAGACTAGACCGCCTGTCGAGACACCAGTAAACGCAAGTTTCAAACACAAAGGATAACTTTTCAGAGTTTACTTAATCACTTTGAACTCCTGCCGGTAAAAAGGAGAGCATTTACAAGTTATTATTATTGAGAAGCCTATAGATCACACAACTAAACTAATTAGTAACATGGGGTGGAAAATCATGCTAAAGTCTACTCGTGATGCAATATTTTGCACAAAAATGCGCGATCAAAAAGGGAGGCCAGTCAGCGCGGCTTAACGGTCAAAGTTTCCCTTCCTATGTGATTTTGGACGAATGTTTTTGAAAGTTTTGCGAATGTAAACAATTTGAGGAGTTCGAAAACACAATCAATTATTAAAAGCCTTGAAATCATACATTTAACATTATAGTGGATTTATGGAATCAGACATTTAAGCTAAGGTTAAGGTATCATAAGTTTGGATTGACCCAATAAGAAATAATCAACTACTGCATGTACCTTTTATGGAAGGTAATCAGTGTCAAGGGTAGGTCGCTCTGGGTAAACGAAACAGAGAGAGTAGGAGGTGAAAACGTCTTCACTTACACAAATAAGTTCAGAAAAACAATAAAATTTTGGATTCGATCAGCTAAGAAAATGGTACGGTTCCTATACCCCCGAGCCCCTCATGACCAGACCATAATTATGGGTTTATTGGACAATTTCGTCGCGATTCATTGATACAAAGGCGGTTATCTCCTGTCATGATAGACACCTTGTAAAATCTTCTAATAGAATTTAAAAGTCCAGAACTACAATTCACTGTAAGATTACACTCACCATTGCAAGCAAATACCGATGCCGGTCCGATTCGGAACAAAATACAAAGGATAAAAAGGAACGTTGTCGCACCATTCTTGTAAGAAGCCAAAGAGTTCATTCTTGAGCAAAATCTCTGGCAGCGCATTAAGATTAGTACATACATTGCAAGGTACCTTAAAATAGAAGCATTACCTGTTTTACTTGTGACTAAAAGCTAATTGAAACAATTAAACAGCGTCCAAAGATAACTGTTAACACTAATTCCATGTCTTTTACAAGTAAGTAGAAGAAATACTCTTTTCGCCCTCAATTTGGAGGCTAAAAAGTAGTGCATTCGGTAGCTTTCCTATGATTTCAAGATATCAGGAATAAATCTGCTCAATAGAAAACTATATATAGCATTAATTTTTTACGTGTTCTTTGTAACAGGTAATGACTGTTTACATTTAAGAGGGCAGATACACTCATGAGATTATTAACATAGATGAGATTCTTGTAACGAATCAAAAATTTCCTATTTAATTACGGGTGAGAAAAAGGTCACAGCATGTAAAAATTTCTATTAATATCAAAAAATCAGACAATTTACAAAAGAATCTTTAAAAGATCTGTACAAATATATTGGAGAAGACTCTAAATCAAGGTATTTTTGACAATTAATATTTAAGGACCTTAAAGAGAGGCAGAGTCCATGTGAGGCACAATACAAATAAATACTTATTACACGTTACCTAAGTGCACCCCTATTACGAACAATCGATTTCAAATCTTGCAATTAACTCCTATCAAACTCTATTGAAACCTCAGTAGAACTTACATGACAGTACTTCTACTTCCTGACTGCATGTGCTAAATTTGATCATAGCATTGTAAGAACAATGCTAATGTTGCCTGCATCACAGTGAAAGTATCCCTTCCATGGGTTGTATCAATGTTGTTATAAGAATTTTTTTCGCACTTTTTCTCACTCACTTAGATGTTAAAATGACAACAACAAAAAGAATAAAAAAATACCCGTAGACTAGATGAACGTAGAAATGAAGGAACATTTCTTAAGGATCACAGCGTCTTCTTCATAAAGCCGACGCTAGGTTTTTGGGAACCCACAGTCAACCTTAACGTTAGCTAAATTGAAGATAAAATTTTCTCCTACTTTCCACGGTATATGAGCCTGAAAGGATAAAACTGGTTCACGAGCGTATCATTACAGTTAAGCAGTTCCATAGCACTTCAGCTTTCCCAAGGTATGGTAGCCATGCTCGTTGTTTTGACCCGTATCTCCAAACCTTAGCTGCTTGACTGGCAGATCGGTCTTGTCAGAGAGGAAACCACTGTCTTCACGCAATTGTCGATCATTCGCATCACAGTTACAACGATAGCCCGCTCTAGCACATGTCTTTTTTATCCCGCATGCGCATGTTAATCCATCATAACTGACATCACGACCAGGTTTTCCACCTCCCCAGTAGGTCATTTTCTTCGAATCACGTGACAACCACCAGGCGAACCTCTTCACCCTAGAATGGTAGCACTCATACTCAACGAACTGCTCGCAGTGAAGGGAAACAGCAGTCAGACTTTTAAGCTGAAAGAGGCTCGCTCCTGTATAGGTAATGTTGCGCGAGTAACAGCCTGCATTTTCGCATCCTTTCACCAGTGTTCTGTTTTCGCTGTCGTGACTTATGACAGTCACGCCAACTCCGTTTTTGTCAGTCATGTTACACATGACCTTATAAGGCAGCAATTCACCTTCACTGTCTGGATCAATCATGTATAGTCCACTTTTTGCTTCACGATGGAGCTTTTTTAAATGGGTGCAGGACTTTGGTGGCACTGTGGTGATAAAGAAAGATAAATGTTTAATTAAAAGTTCTGAAAGACTTGCCAAAGGGAGCCTCACGATGAATTACAGCAATGTTGTTTTGACAATTATCTTTTCCATCAAAATTGATATAAAAAGTAACGTGATTAGAGTGTAAAGAAAACTTTTAAAGCCAACAATCTCCTGAATAAAATCCCTTCCGTTTTGCCTTAATCTGACGTCTAAAATAAATTAAAAACTATATTGGGTTTAGAAGTTTGGGAGAAGTAACCGGTTGAACCTTATGGTTCCTGCAGATTACTGGCAGTATTTTTTGGGTAAGTAAAGTGTGGTAGTTAATTCATGACAAGTGTATCTCTAAGAGGATTTTACAGTACCACTGCAATTTGCTCCGGCATACCCAGGAACACAGAGGCAGCGAAAGCCTTTACTAGTGAAACCAACTTGACAAGTTCCGTCATTTAAACAAGGGCTGCTACTGCATGGATTCTGCTGAAAACGAAAGAGATAGTAACTGAAGGATAATTTTAAAGACATGACACAACATTTACCACAAGGACCGCGAAAGCTGAACATATACTGCGTAAAACACCGTCAAAAATTAAGTCAACGACGCCGGACATAACAGAGAAAAACTTGAAACGAAAGATAAAGAAAATAAATCAACCGTGGACAACAGTTTATGACATCGGTCAGTTTGCAAACATTCGGATGTGCACTTGATAGACTGCAAGCCTTCCTGCCTCTTGCTGTTTTCATGCTACATTGTTCAGTGCTGCATTCTCACTTTTAGCTTGGTCTCTTCCTTTCTAAGCTATCCTCCAACGTTTAATTAGTTGTTTCGCCCTTGCTTTTTAAACGAAAGCATCAAATTGATTCGAATTAAAGATACTAGAGAGGCGTGAAAAGGCTATATATGGAACTATGAAAAGTTTACTGACCTCAACAGCCAAGTAGTAAGCATTAAAAGTTTCCGGCTCAAGGAAGACCAGTTGGCTTTCATCAGCTGTGGCGTTATTCAATTCGCAATTGTATTTTCCTCCTTGTAAAGGTTTCACATTGATGGAGACACAATTAGGCTCCATATAACACATCGTCCGGCAGAACCCCTCATTAACTACCTCTTCACTTCTAATCACGTGCCCCTTTATTGCCCTCTGTGGTTTCAGCTCCTCGAACATAATGATGCGGCACTCGTCGCCTGTTAATCATACAAGTGCACGTTAAAATTGATAGTAGATTTGTCATTTATACCATTGGTTCCTTGTGATTTTCATTTTTAAATCTACTATCAAATCGAATGTCACAAGCTTAATTTTAATGTAGTATGAAAACTAATTCACAATCAGCTTAACTAACCTTTCACCGGCTAAGCAGGCATAGATAATTTTGTTGACAACTTGTCAGTGCTAAAATTAGAAAGCTCTTTTTTCCTGATCTAAAGGTTCTACTTGAAAGAAAGTCGTAGCACTGAAGAGGATTCTACCAACCGAATGGAGACAAATTTTTAAATAATTCCACGCGATACCTTCATTTTCTCGTCTACCTTAGAACTTTTGGGTTTTTATAAATCTTTTTTGCTAAGTCTTTGCAGGATTAAACAATTTTAAACAACACGTTTTCTACACCCATCTGTTGAATTTTGTGGATTAATTTTAGTGGTTGTCAGCAGTTGGGGCACTGTGGTGCACCTCTCCGCTTTCTGCAGTCTTAATTCGAAATATTCTAAATTGACCTTCAAAGCAATAATAGACTAATTCACTAAAGCATGCTCTGTTGAGACTGTTCTAACAAGGTTGCCCAATAACTTTGTCCTGAAGTTTGCATCCTGGTTTAGAGACAACGGGAAGCAAATTTTGACCGACAATGTCTTCGGTTAAAAACAACCGAGAGGTTCACGCAATTAAAAACCCGTCGCCAACCATCAAGAATTGTAGTGTTAAAAAACTTGGCGGTGATATTTTTCCAGTTTTTTAGTTGAACAAGGTTTAGATTATTTAACAATGAAAAAATAAATGAAAATCAGGAAAATACCGATTGTAGCAATTTATTGCGAATTTATTGCGACATTTAGATTCAAACTCACCAGAACAAGCGAAAACCGATGTCAATCTGATTCCGAACAAAATAGAAAGGGTAAAAGAGAAAGTTGTGGCTGTAATCTTGAAATATGTCGAATAATTCATCCTTATAGATACTGGTTTACGGCCGGAGGGGTCAAAATTCCACCTTTGGCAGTACACTGCAGCTCTCACAGCTTATGCTAATTCATTTGTCTTTACTTTAAACCGAAAGAGCAGGTGAAATAGATGCTTTCGAGACGAAATGTTAATTTGAAGATGCTGTACTGGTCTTCAAAAAACTTATCAGTATTCCGACCAGAGTTCCCGGTAAAAAGTGTAGATCGAAATGAAAAGTCTTCAATATCCCAATCACAGAAAACAGAGAGAGTTTATCTTTTCTCAAGGCTGGAAACTTTTGAAAAACAATTATAACGTTGTGCACGCAATAACTGTTAAGTCAATAAACACATATGACAGTCTTCATGTCCGATGGACAAGTCCTTTTAAAAAAGATCTTGGTTTTTCCAAAGGCATTTATATTTATAACTCATATTCTCCAATCTATATAAGGTATGATTAAGAATAGTTTCCGGCAACCCTGAACATTGTTTTTGAAACCGAAGACAATAGCATAATGATTGCATTCCTTCTATTGTCATGACAACTTTTAAACTCCATTCATTATGTTATGCCATATTGGACGATGATATGCCACCAAAATGACTGATTCAATATCTTGCAAGCAAGCTATTGAAAAGAAAAAAAACTTTCCAAACGATTTGAAAAAGGCATTATTTATCAAACAGTCATTACCATAACTATGCAATGCACTTAATTCTTCTCTGACAAGTCTACGCATAACAGGAATGACTTCAAAGGAACCACGGTGGCAGTGTTTGCATATCTAGGGGAAGTTCACGCCTTTAAATTTTCAAGGAAATTGCCTGTAAAATCGATGAAACTATGCACTCTCTTCTTTGCCATGTTGACCAATTGTATTGTGGCATTGTCTTGACACAATTGCCTTCACGAAGCGTGTACTTCAACAAATTTTTTCCACAATTTTCAAGTTTCTCATTTCCAATACGAGTCAGCCTGAGCAATTCATTCGCTTTTACGAAGGGCTAACGCCTGGAATGTCAGCTTTAGAGACTCTAACTATCCTATAATACCCCCCACCCCCCACCGACGCAGCACCACAGTTTCTTCAGAAACTTGCTTCCTATATTCACTTGGCTGATGTGGTTCCCTTCTGACTTTTTATTGTTATTATTCCTTTAGTGCTCATCTAAAATAGCAAAATATTATTTAGAGGCAGCTCTCTCGCGATGACACTTTGAAAATCCCAAAATATGATGACGCAGGCTCCGACTGTAGTCCAGCAGGTATAATATTTGTTCAAAGCCAAAGCGAAAATGACAAGTTATTATCAAAAATTATGCCTATCTTATTTGCATTTCTCGATAATAACACAGAGGCTTTTCAGTTTCCACTTTCTGTCAAAATTTTGAATTTCATCCCCAAAACATTTCCTCTTAAGAATGCTTTCAGTGGTTTTATTCAATTGTTGCCATTGGAGTTTATTAGCATTCGAGCTTCCCTGTCATCAGATCGATAGATCTAAAATTACCTGAAGTGATCAGGAATTCAACTGAAATTAAAACAACTAGGTCTATTCGATATATCAAAACGAGAGTTGATAATGAAGGTAATATTTTTTCGATCTCATCTTGATCGAGACCGAGAGTCTTCTCTTTTCATATAATGTTTAGATGAGATTCATAGTCAGAGGAATAACTGAGGTAAAGTGCATTTCTCGTAGAAGTAGAATTTTTACACCAGAAGACAAAACGCAAATATAAAAAAAGTTGAAGAAGTATCAGAAAAATAACATTTAGAACCCTCAGGGATGAGTATCAAAGCTTGTTAACCCTGTGGCCCCCAAGATATGCGTCAACTGGTTCAAATAATGGCAATAATCTTCGTTGTAAGTTATCATGTCCTGAGAGTTTGGTTTTTAATCAGGGCAATATTAATATCCCCACAACCCCACCCTCGATTCGATTCTAATAGTTTGTTTGGTAAACTTTTTACTCAGCTTTGACAAAAGTCAGCCTTAACATTATCAAAATTACAGTCAGTTTAAACAATGACACCGTGTTGTAGCTATAAAAGCTAACTAGCTGCCTCTCAAGTCAATGTTTTAGTATATAGTCAAGAACTCTTCAAAAAGTTTCTAAATTGCGTGTCCTCCTCCCTAAACATATAGAAATGACTTTAAATGTACTGTGATTAGGGTACCACTCGAGTCTTTTTACAAAATCTAAAAGTTATATAGGTGCAACCGCTTCAGTTATTCGAAAACCAACGGCACTGCCTATATATAAATTGAAAGACATATATTTAACAACATCAACGCCAAAGAAAAATTGCTCAAAAAGCTATGTAAACTTTTTAAAGTTATTAGCGAATGAGGCTTTTGAGAGATTGAAAACTCATAAGCTCGTTTAATGAACTTAGTGCCATTCCTGCATAAGTGCACAATTTATAAGTGGCTCAATTTATAAGTAGCTCAATTTTTAAGTGGCTCAGGCAGTCACCAAAACTGTCTCTTAGCATGACATGAATCGGCGGAGTTAAGTTACAAAGGATATTTGGCAATTTGTTGTGGTCCAAAGGGTACACATTTGGAATCAGCACTGTCTCCACTTGTTATGCCAATGAGAAAGAAGGCGATGATAGAGACGGTAGACGCTTTTAGCCACTCAACGCAATATTTTCGACACAAAAGCAATCGACATTTTTATCGGCTTCGCTGTCTAGTTTGTTGAGGTGCTAATGGAGAGAGCGGCTTGAAAATTTTCAAGGGTTTAAAGTACGTGCAGGGGTCTAATATTAATTATTGAATCATTCCTAAAGATACAATTCCTAGGCCTTAGCAATAGGCATAAATAGATTGTGCTCGGCAACTTTTGAGCAACTTTTAGCGTTTTCAATAACTTTTTGTACTGCGAGCAACCTGCAGCAACTTTTGCCCTCCTTGGCAACTTTTGAGTCAACAAAGAATTAGAAACTGATCAAACAATCAAAAAGGTCTTTATTAAAAGGTTTTTTATTAAAAAAAGTCAAAACAAAGGATGTCGTACTTTCTTACAAATAATTCATAAAATAACACGTGCGCCCACGAACTGGACAGCAGCTATCTATCTAACGGGCGCTTACATCCAGTGGTTATTGGCTCCAACAATAGGGAGTTAATACATCGCGGGCGACGAGTGGGGGATTAAGAAAAGACCAAAATACGAGTGGTCAGCGGAGAAGCAAATTTAATACTTCATATAGCAACATATCAGTTATAGTTGCGGAAAACAATAGTGTTGTAAAGCCGAAATATCAACAGTATACTAAATAAAATGTTAAGCAATTTTTCGAAAGTGTTGATGGCACATGTATCTTTTACTGCTCTAATAAACAATAGGGGCATCGGAAAAGGCATCGGTGGGGCAACTCCTAGCAGTCCTCCAAGAGCTTCAATTTCTAGAAAACGCAAAATTCATGTCAACGAAGGCAAATACAAACAACGAGGAAGCGGTAGCTCGACCTCGTCCTCAGGGAAAGGAAACACAACATGCGCTTGGGGTCGCGTGAAAGACTATCCAAAACAGCATTTCGCAGTGGTGAGTGGAAATTTACGTTGTAATGCTTACAGTGAGACCCTTTCATTGAAGAAAAGCTCAATCGACGAGCATGTAAAGTCAAGCAAGCATACAAACGGAGATGCTCGCATCGCGAAAGACAAGAAACAAAGCCAGTCAATCATGGACTGTGTTAAAAGGCAAGACGTACGTGAACACCCCAGTGGATCGATATTGCCTGTGGAATTCCGTTTGTTCCGATTTAAAATAGTCAAGTGTGTTATTTCTGGAGGTATACCACTATCAAAAGTAGATATTCTACGCCCTCTGCTCGAGAAATATAGCCATAGATTAACCCACAGCGCTAGCCTCCGTGAAATCATTCCAGAGGAATTGGAAAAAGAAAGAGAGCAACTCTTGAGTGAGCTTGAAAGTGTGAAAGTGATGCAGCTGATGGTGTTGTCATGGCAAATGAAGAAGAAAAGCTTGCATGGTCGGCAGCCCACAGTGACATACTTCCACATTGGGCAGGTGTAGTAAAGAAGTTATTGGTCATCCAGCCAAGTTCAGCATCTGCTGGGAGAGTCTTCAGCCTTCTGAAGAATGCGTTTAATGATCAACAAGACAATGCCCTGGAGGACTACTTTAAGGCTTCAGTCATGATAAGATACAACAATGCAAAGAGGCTGTAAACTGTAAGATAAGATAAATGTTTAAAGTTAGGGTAGTTAACCTTATTGAATATGGAACTCTCACTAGCAATGTAATCATGATTTATCTCATTTTATATAAAAATTCTCAGGAAATAAGATTACTTATAAAATGTTAGAGAAGTAGTACTGTCATTTCAATCGGTTAAGTTTCCGCCAAAGCTTAATTATATACCAAAAAAAAATAATAGACCCATATTTTTTAAGTAAGCGTGGCACTAATTACGGTAAATCCTTCACAAATATTAACAAAAGCTGAAACATGTCTCATTCCAATGTCTTCCCATTTTATATAAACGTCAAAGGATGGTTTGGATTACCGAGCTGTACCTTACTTGATATATTCATTATTCCTTTTCTCGCCTATAGTCCTAGAATAAGTGCCGCAATCTTCAACATTGACAATTTTGCACACATTTACAGCGTTCATAGACGGCGTGATTTCTAAGGATTTACGGTATTCCCTTATTTTATCATTAGTCTTACTGGTAGTTTTGGTCTCACGATTTATAGGGAAACGCCTGTCAAACATGTATTTCAAACGTGAAAATCCACAAAGTAGCCATTTCCTGTGGTCTTTTGGAAAGATGAGAAGCAGAGCATTAGTCATAGAATAAAGATTTTTTGATGATGAAGGTACACATTACTTATCATCGTAAAGGCTGTTTATGGTTTATGCTTTATTGAAATAAATCAGTTGCTATCACCAAACCCTACATAGAAATATGATTTCCATGAAATTATTTTTCAGCGGTGAATTCATTTGACACGACTCATACACTGCATAAGTGTGAATGCCCAGTCCTACTTGAGTTTGTATCTACAAGAGATGAAAAGGTTCCCTTTTGAAAGCCGTCGAAAGACGAGGGGCTAACGCTCGAAATGTCAGCTTTCAAACTCTTTACGGTGGCACATGAATTCAAGTTACAACTCAGTTAATAATATCATAACTCTGTTATCTTCTTCACAGGAGGTATGAACAGTTCTGAAGAATTTTTCTGTGTGAAAGAAATTCACACCATGCAAAACTGTGTTTCGTTCGTACATATTGACTTGCTATGAGGCTATTACCTAAAGTTCAACTATGACATCATTAATATTAAAAAGCAAGGTGCAAAAAACATTTGCTATGATCCAAAGCTAACAAGCTGACTTGTATATCAGGAATGTAGTGTTATTAGGTTAAACATAAAAATTTGCGTCCTTGATAAAACTTACAAAGTACTTCATAATCACCATGCATAAATAAGTTCTTCACTCGTCTGTAAATGAAATTTTTACACCTCATTGAAAAAAAGGGTAGAATGTGGTACTTTTTTACCGTATCAAGTATTATTTTACCATTGTGGGCCTTCAAACTAATTGTAAAAGTAAGTAATGAAAAGGTCGATAGACATATCAGATATTTGTTTAGGATCACAGTATACAGGTATGTCATACGGAATTGCCAAGCTTAATACTTTCTTTTCTTTCGTTTCTTTTTTTTTTCTGTCAGATCAGGCGATTCCGTAACATTTGAACTTTCCCAAGGTATGGTAGCCTTGCTCGGAGTTAGCTCCTGTATCACCAAACCTCAGCTGTTTAACTGGCAGATGTGTCTTCTCATTGAGGAGACCACTGTCCTCACGCCATTTATGGTCATTCTTGTCACAGTTACAACGACCACCCCTTTTTGCACACGTGCCGTTTATCCCGCATGCGCACTTATCACTATCAGGTGCTGCTCCGCCCCAGTAATTCATATCCATAGAATCACGTGACACCCACCAGGCGTACTTTCGGTCGTTTTCACTCTGAAAAAGTGAACCTCGACACTCGTACTTTATGAACTGCTCACAAAACAAAGAAACTCTGGAAAGGCTTGCTAGCTGAGGAAAGGTCACTCTAGTGTAATTAATATCACGTGAGTAACATCCCACAGGCTCACATCCGTCCACCAGTGTCCTATCTTCGCTGTCGTGACCTATGACTGTCACACCAACTCCGTCCTTATCACTCATGTCACAGGTGACGTGGTAAGGTTTTAATACTCCTTCGCCATCTGGATCAATCAACGAGATTCCACTTTTCGCTTTGGGATCGAGCCTCTTTAAGTCACTGCAAGATTTTGATAACACTGTGTAGAGAAAAGTAGGAACATTGATGACCAAAAATAAAAATGTTACCATTGGATCTTTTTGCTTTTTTTCAGTTGAATACGTTGTCGTTGTTGTTTCGTATGTCCGAACAATCCATTCCAAGAATCGATACCATAACATTTGATGGTACATGTGATGAGTAGAGGGTATCAGGAAAGGTGCACGACGTTGTTGTGTATCCTTTTGACTTACGAAGTTATAATTGCAACTCTTTATTCCGTCTAAAAATCCCAAATCTTGCTGAAATAATTAAAAAAACCAATTTGAATTATAATTCATTGAGAGCCAGTTCGGTTCGGAAAAGAAATTATGGCAGAGGGAACAATTTGAACCTCGCGACCAATAAAATGCGCCCCAGAGAACGAAATGTGAGATCTGATATTCTGAAGTCAAATTAATATCAACTCGTGCAGGATTTAAGCCAATAGAATAGGATCATAATAGAATTTCACTATACCATTGCAGTTTGCTCCAGCATATCCGGGAACACAAACACATCGAAACCCTTTGCTAGTGAAACCAACTTGACAAGTTCCGTTATTCAAACATGGGCTGCTACTACAAGGATTCTGTTGAAATAGCGAAAATCTAAATTGTAAGAACTAAATATAAACATGAGGTGAATAAAAGCAAAGGAAACAAGCTCTAAACAAATCCCTTCAGATTTTATTTATGGTACAAAGACAGAACAGTTTCCGCGAAACCTGTCTGTACTAATGAGATGCAAATTCTTTTATGAAAAACTTGGTCCGTGCATGGCTGTTATAATTTATTGGCCTACTTCGAAACCGCTATCTTAAGTTTTCTTCTCTTTCATCCTCCTGCTATAGTCTAGAGGAAAGACAAAGATCAACTAAATGATCTATCTGCCTCAAGCTTCCTTGACCCGCCTCGAATCGCATTGTTTTTATTTTAGTTTTTGTTTTCTCTAATTATCAAAAACCAGAAACGTATTCTAATTGCAGCTCTTTCTATATATAAGGGGCAACTTAATCTACCCTCTTCTATTATTCAATCATTAAACATTACCTCAATAGCCAGGTAGTAAGCACCCATTTCCTCAAGGAAGGTCAGTTTACTTTCATCAACTGTGGCATTATTCAACTCACATCTGTATTTTCCTCCGTATACGGGTCTTAAATTCACGGAGACACAGTTAGGCTCCATATAACACATCATCCGGCAGCTCCCCTCATTAGTTACCTCTTGGCTCCTGATAATGTGACCGTTGATTGCCTTATTTGGTAACGATTCCTCAAAGATGATAATGCGGCATTCGTCACCTGGTGTAGAACCCAATAAAAATTTCATAATGCAGTTTATTCTCACCCAAATTTCACCAATAACTTAGCGTTGCTCCTTGTGCAGGATAAGAAGTACTCGAGGAATCATTAAAAGCCACCGTTAAGGTTGTGAACATGTACTGAGATGATAAAATACGGTTTGATTATAATAAAGACTAAAAAGAGTGTCCAGTGAAACTCTACGACTTCATTTGCATTTTTCACCCCATTTGTCAGTTTTTTGTGCGATTAATTGATGTCTTGAACTCTCGTTTCCTTCGCCCAAGTGTTTTTTATACAACACGTTATTTACGACACTCTCTAAAAAAGGAAGTTTGAAAATATCCATGTGGATAATTCCCAAAACTTCACGAGCAGGTGCTCCTGTTTTTCTCACGCTATTTAACATCTTCTAAAATCCTCATAAAAAAGATCTGTAGAACGGTAGTTTTTAATTCATAACTATCAAACGAATGATACTTACCATTGCAAGCAAAAACCGATGCTAATCTGATTCCGAGCAAAATACCAAGGATAACAGGAAAAGTTCTCGCTCCCCTCTTGAAATAATCCGAGGAGTTCATTCTTGTGCTAACACTTGAGGGCGCTGGTAAAACAGTTCAAAACACTGCAGCTACCACCTACTTCATACTTAGTAGTTATCGCTTCAGACCGGATGAACTTAAAATGCAGCAGGTGGAGTGATTATTTATTGATATGGAATGCTTTTTAAACCACTAGAGTGACAACCGGAGTCCTCGATAAAGTCAACATTCAATTCATTTAATTCAAGGATATTAGAGGTAATATTCCTCGAAAGACTTAAGAATACACCAATTCCAATAACATTCATTTGCGAATTTTAATTTTTGAATTGAAGTTTATGAATTAAACCCGCCTACTGAGTCATATTAATTTGTTTTACGGAAGTTTCAATTTATGCATCCTTGATGCAATATTTCTTCGTTTTTCAAAAACGAAGTTTTTCCCAAAAGCTATTATGTCTCGGAAATTTCGTTTCAACCTACATAGAACGCGATAGGCGAGAACGTGCGGAACAGCCACGAAAGAGATTCTACATGTAAAACATTTTCTTTTTTTTTGTTTTTCGAGTCAGAACAAGAAAGTCGAAATTTCGACTGAAAGGGTGAACGCTAATTGGAAGGAGAGCGCCTTACTGAGAGGGGCGCCTATTAACTTAGCGCAGTCAAAAGGAAAAAAATTTAAGAACAGATAACGCATATAAAGGAATTCTGCAATCACAATAGAAGAAACGGAAGTGGCTTTAACGAAAAAAGCTGGAACAATCTTCTATCGCAGTACTGATTCCGCTATAGTTTGAAAAGCTTGAAAAGTTCAAAATAAAGAGGCAATACAAACAGGTGTTTGTAGTAAGCCTGCTGCCTGAGAAAGTGAGGAAGGAGGGGGGCGTTTATTTAAGAAAGGCACATGTTTGACAATGTTTGAGGGGTGGGCGCTTATTCGGAGGAGGGCGCTTTTTTGAGCGTGGGCGCTTATTCAAGAAATATGTATAATAATTTGTTTATTGTTTATCACCTGAAATTTCTCTAAGCTGCGGCGAATCACCCTTAGAAAATAGTGGGAAAAGGACATTAACTTTACATCTGTACTAATTAAGTATCATAAATAGCAACATGCTTCACAAGCACCTGTTTAAGCCTTAATGAGAGAATACATAGTTCTATCGAGTGATGAATATACTCTGATTTCTTAAAGATAAAAAACATCTTGTATTCGTTTATGACCTGGCTGATCAAGGTATACTAAACCCTTATCGTGGAGGACCTTCGTACCATCACAGTATGTTGCTACAACAATGAAATGTGGATTAATGTTGATTTGCTGATTCGAACAGTTGAGCTACCATTTTAGTTTCATACCAGTAGAAAAGCACTGTTGTTGTTTTTTTTAATCAGGCGAGTCCATAACACTTAAACTTTCACAAAGTATGGTAGCCCACCTCGTGAAACCTCTTATGAACATCGACATCACCAAACCGCAACTGTTTTACTGGCAGATGTTTCTTTTCAGTGAGTAAACCACTTTCCCCACGCCGTTTAAGGTCATTCTTGTCACAGTCACAACGATCACCTCTTTTTGCACACGCGCCCTTCATCCTGCATGCACACTTATCACTATCAGGCGCTGCTCCCCCCCCCCCCCCCCCCCCCCCCCCCCCCCCAAATAAGCCATATTCATAGAATCACGTGACACCCACCTGTTGCGAGTTTGGTTCTGCCTATCATGAAAAATTAAGCCTGGTCACTCGTACTTTATGAACTGTTCACAAAATAAGGAAACTCTGTTTACGCTTGCCAGCGAAAAAGTTCAACACTGCAAATGTGGTGTTATCCTTTTGACTTACGAAGAACTATATACAACGCTATGCATTCCATCAAAACGTTCTCAATTTTCTTATAATAATTTGAAGAACCAATTTAAAATAAAATTCATTGATTTTCTGGCTTTATGAAAATCTGTAATTTAAAACCACACAGAAAGAACCCACAATTTCCCTCTTCTGTTAGTAGACCTAGGCTTTCAGGAGAGCAAATTCTTTGGAGATTATTGGAGAAGCAATAGAATTTCATCCAGGAACCGTTCATGCGCGGGTAAGCTGCGGTAGTGGTGCGTTGCTAATAAAGCTCAGCAGACCTGACTTGAACCTCAAAATGAAGGTGCTTTTGTTATGAAAGGTACAGTTTTAATCTTTAATTTCACCCCGTTACAAATGTCGCAAGTTCACGTTGACACTAACAATTTTTGATTTAAATTTTAAATGATTGAGGAGGATTGAACGTTATTATTCGTAGTAAAAACTGTTGAGGACTTTAAGGAGCTTTTTTGTATCGATTAACAGTTTTTTTTTTCTTTTTTTCTTTTTTTTTTACTTTGTTAGTTAGATGTGTTTCTTAAACATTCAGGAACAGGGAAAGCTTGACTGAAAATAAAATTTTACAATACCAGCACAATTTGCCCCAGCAGATCCGGGAACACATACACATCGATACCCTTTACTGGTAAAACCTACTTGACAAATTCCGTTATTCAAACAAGGATTGTTAGCACAAGGATTCTGTGGAAAAAAAAGAAAGCATTGAAGTGATTTGAAAGGGATTCAAACTTTTAAATGATTGGAAGCAAAAATACGGTGAAGCACGACGAGTTGACGAGGCGGGTACTTGAACAAACCAAACATGAAAAGGTCAAATGCCCTTGGAGGTTACTTGGGAAACGTTGAAGCCTCGAACTGATCGATGCATTGAAAAGGAAAAAAACGATTCGATCAAATACCTAATCAGCTTCACTTCTTTCTTACTTTTAAACCATTTCAACCAAAAGTTACTGCACTTCATAATTTCTCTTCATCGAAGGAGTGGGTGGTTCCATGCATGCTCTAAAATTCCTATGTCGTCAAAATAACCCATTGGCGTAAAGAATTGACCTCAATCGCCAAATAGTAAGAATCCCTTTCTTTAAGAAAGATGAGTTGGTTTTCCTCAGCTGTGGCGTTATTTAATTCACATTTGTATTTTCTTCCATTTGAAGGTCTTACATTGGTGGAGACACAATTAGGCCCCAAATAACACATCATACGGCAATCCCTTTCATAAGGTACCTCCTCACTAATGACCACATGATCCCTTATAGCCTTATTTGGTATCGGTTCCTCGAACACGATAACGCGGTATTCGTCACCTGTTAAAGAATAAGACCTTAATTTCGATCTTCTTTTTCAAACGGATAAGTCACTCTACAAGAATGCGACAAAAATACTTCAAAAAGTACTTCATATACTTCGTACTTAAAAGTACTTGATTAAAAATGATTTTGAGATGATATGTTTTAATTAGCTGGTATCAATTTGATGCTCAGATGTTCGTAAAGTCGATTTAAGCCATTTGGTTTGAGTTTTTCCTCAGATATTTGCCTTCTCACTTTTATGGAACCACAAGAAAAAAAACCAATAAGTCATTTTTCTTTTTTAGACGCAGTTTCTGAAATATTTTTGGAGGCACTCTCGTTTTCAATTAGTCGTAAATGGCTCAAACGGGTATCGAATACAGCGTTTGAGACTAGACCGCCTGTCGAGACACCAATAAACGCAAGTTTCAAACACAAAGGACAACTCAGACATGGTTTGATGCTACTCTGGTTTACAGATTTAATGAATGTAACCGAAGAAGTTACAATTCATAGTCAATGGGTCTATGAATTGTAACTTCTTCGGTTACATTCATTAAATCTGTAAACCAGAGTAGCATCAAACCATATCTGATTGTCCACCTGGTTGCCGTGTGAACTTTGATATATTTTATTTGCGACAAAGGATAACTTTTCAGAGTTTACTCAATCACTTTGAACTCCTGACGGTAAAAAGGAGAACATTTACAAGTTATTATTATTAAGAAGCCGTTAGATCACACAACTAAACTAATTAGTAACATGGGGTGGAAAATCGTGCTAAAGTCTACTCGTGATGCAATATTTTGAACAAAAATGCGCGATCAAAAAGGGAGGCCAGTCAATGCAATATTGATAGAGGCGCAGCTTAACGGTCAAAGTTGCCCTTCCTATGTGATTTTGGGCGAACGTTTTAGATAGTTTTGCGAATGTAGACGAATGTACACTCGCCATTACAAGCAGATACCGATGCCGGTCCGATTCGGAATAAAATACAAAGGATAAAAAGGAACGTTGTAGTACCATTCTTGTAGGAAGCCAAACAGCTCATTCTTGAGCAAAATGTCTGGCAGCACAATAAGATTAGTACAAACATCGCAAAGAACCTTAAAATAGATGCATTACTTGTTGTACTTGTGACTTAATGCTAATTGAAGCAATTAAACAGCGTCTAAAGATAGCTGTTATCACTAATTTCACGTCTTTTATAAGTAAGTAGAAGAAATACTCTTTTCGCCCTCAATTTGGAGGCTAAAAAGTAGTGCATTCGGTAGCTTTCCTATGATTTCAAGATGTCAGGAATAAATCTGCTCAATACAAAACTATGTATAGCATTAATTTTCTACGTGTTCTTTATAGCGGGTAATGTCTGTTTACATTTAAGAGGGCAGATACACTCATGAAAGAATCTTTAAAAAGATTTGTATTAATATTTGGGAGAAGACTCTAAATCAAGGTGTTTTTGACAATTAATTTTTAAGGACCTTAAGAGAGGCAGCGTCCATGTGAGGCACAATACAAATAAATACTTATTACACGTTACCTAAATGCACCCCTATTACGAACAATCGATTTGTACAAATCTTGCAATTAACTCCTATCATACTCTATTGAAACCTCAGTAGAACTTACATGACAGTACTTCTACCTCCTAAAAAAAGATGCACCACTGCATTTGCTATATTTGATTATAGCATTAGAAGAACAATGCTAATGTTGCCTGCATCACAGTAAAAGCATCCCTAAAGATACTTCATAGGTTGTACAAATGTCGTTATAAGAATATTTTTCGCACTTTTTCTCACTCACTTAGATGTTAAAATGACAACAACTAAAAGAATGCAAAAATACCCCTACACTAGATGAACATAGAAATGAAGGAGCGTTTCTTAAGGATCACAGCGTCTTCTTAATAACATCAACGCCAGGTTTTTAGGAACCCATAGTCAACCTTAACGTCAGCTAAATTGAAGATAAAATTTTCTCTAACTTTCCACGGTTTATGAGCCTGAAAGGATAAAACTGCTTTACGAGCGTATCTTTACAGTTAAGCAGTTCCATAGCACTTCAGTTTTCCTAAGGTATGGTAGCCACGCTCGTAATTTTGACGTGTATCGCCAAACCTTAGCTGCTTGACTGGCAGATCGGTCTTATCAGAGAGGAAACCACTGTCTTCACGCCATTGTAGATCATTCGCATCACAGTTGCAATGATACCATGCTTTGGTACATGTCTTGTTCACCCCGCAAGTGCACGTTAATCCATTACCACGTGGTTTTGCATTTCCCCAGTAGGTCATCTTCATCGAGTCACGTGACACCCACCAGGCGTACCAGCTCATCCTAGAGTGATAGCACTCGTACTTAACGAACTGCTCGCAGTGAAGGGAAACAGCAGTCAGACTTTTAAGCTGAAAGAGGCTCGCTCCTGTATAGTTAATGTTGCGCGAGTAACAGCCTGCATCTTCACATCCTTTCACCTGTGCTCTGATTTCGCTGTCGTGACTTATGACAGTCACGCTAACTCCGTTTTTGTCAGTCATGTCACACATGACCTTATAAGGCAGTAGTTCACCTTCACTGTCTGGATCAATCATGTATAGTCCACTTTTTGCTTCACGATGGAGCTTTTTTAAATGGCTGCAGGATTTTGGTAGCACTGTGGTGATAAAGAGAGACAAATGTTTAATTAAATGTTTTGAAAGACTTGCTGAAGGGAGCCTCACGATGAATTGCAGCAATGTTGTTTTGATAAGTAAAAACTATCTTTTCCATCCATTAGAGTGTAAAGAAAATTTTTAAAGCCAACAATCTCTTAAACAAAATCCCTTCCGTTTTGCCTTAATCAGACGAATAAAATAAATTCAAAACTTAATTGGATTTAAAAGTTTGGGAGAAGTAAGTGGTTGAACCTTACGGTTCCTGTAGATTACTGGCAATATTTTTTGGGGAAGTAAGGTGTGGTAGTTAATTCAAGAAAACTGTATCTCTAAGAAGATTTTACAGTACCACTGCAATTTGCTCCGGCATACCCAGGAACACAGAGGCAGCGGAAGCCTTTGCTAGTGAAACCAACTTGACAAGTTCCTCTATTTAAACAAGGGCTGCTACTGCATGGATTCTGCTGAAAACGAAAGAGATAGTAACTGAAGGATAATTTTAAAGACATGACACAATTTTTACCACAAGGACCGCGAAAGTTGAACATATACTGCGTAAAACACCGTCAAAAATTAAGTCAACGACGGCATAACAGAGAAAAATTGAAACGAAAGATGAAGAAAGCAAATCAACCGTGGACAACAGTTTATGACATTGGTCAGTTTGCCAGAATTCGGATGCTTTTTGCTCTTTTTATGCTTCATTGTTCAGTGCTGCATATTTTTCAGTGGAGTCTCTATCCTTTCTGAGCTGTCCTCCAGCATTTAATTAGTTGTTTCGTCCTTGCTTTTTAAACGAAACATCAAATTGATTCGAATTAAAGATACTATTGAGGCGTGAAAAGGCTATATATGGAACTATGAAAAGTTCACTGACCTCAACAGCCAAGTAGTAAGCATTAAAAGTTTCCAGCTCAAGGAAGACCAGTTGCCTTTCATCAGCTGTGGCGTTATTCAATTCGCAAATGTATTTTCCTCCTTCTAAAGGTTTCACATTGATGGAGACACAATTAGGCTCCATATAACACATCGTCCGGCAGAACCCCTCATTAACTACCTCTTCTCTTCTAATCACGTGCCCCTTTATTACCCTGTGCGGTTTCGGCTCCTCGAACAGAATGATGCGGCATTCGTCGCCTGTTAAATCATACTAGTGCACGTTAACATTAATAGTAGAACGCTAGGTATTTGTCATTTATAACATCGGCTCTTTGCGATTTTCGTTTTTAAATCTATTATCAAATCGAATGTCATAAACTTACTTTTTATGTCGCATGAAAACTAATTCACAATTAGCTTAACTAACCTTTCACCGGCTAAGCAGGCATAAATAATTTTGTTGACAAATTATCAGTTTTAAAATTAGAAAGCTCTTTTCTCGTGATCTAAAGGTTCTATTTGAAAGAAAGTTTTAGCACTCAAAAGAACATAATTCTTATCGACAGATACTGAAGAGGATTCTGCCAAACGACTAGACTAATTCCACGCGAAATCTTCATCTTCTCGTCTATTTTAGAACTTTTACGTTTTTATAAACCCTTTTTAAAGCATTTGATAGGTCTTGGTAGGATTAAATTATTTTTAACCACACGTTTTCTACACCCATCTGTTGAATTATGTCGATTAAATTCGGTCGCCGTCAGAGGTAGCACTGAGGGGCACTTCGCTTTCTGCAGTCTTAATTTGAAATATTTTAAATTGACCTTAAAAGCAATTATAGGCTAATTCACTAAAACATGCGCTGTTAAGACTGTTCTAACAACGTTTTACCAACAACTTTGTCCCGAAGTTTGCATCCTGGTTTAGATCAAGGCAGTATCAATATCCTCACACACCCCTCCTCCTCCCTCCCCCCCTCAATGCGACACTGACAGTTTGTTTGGTAAACTTTTTTACTCAGCTTTAATAAAAGTCAGCCATTACATTATTAATAATGCAGTCAGTTTAAGCAATGCCACCATGTTGTAGCTATAAAAGTTAACAAGTCGTAGGTTAATATTTTAGCGTATAGTCAAAAACTCCTTCAAAAGTTTCCAAATTGTGTCCTCCTTCCTAAACATTTAGAACTTTAAATCTACCGTGATTAGAACACCATTAGAGTCTTTTTACTAAATATATAACTGATGTAAGTGCAACTGCTCTCATTATTTGAAAAACCACTAGCACTTCGTATATAAACATTGGAAGATATATATTTAACAACATTAACGCCAAAGAAAAATTGCCATTGACGCACAGTACTTTGACTCATAGTACATTGGTGCATAATACTTTGACGCATAGTAAATTGGCGCAGAGTATCATGATTGAAGACTTATTAATACAATTATCAGGATCTGTTTTACTCCAAGACGAGCTTATAAGTCGATGATTCCCTTCCTAACAAATTACAACCATTAATGGTTAAAATGCAGCGTAGTTAAACTAGTTAGTTTCAACAGAATTTATAGCGATTATCATGCATAAGTTTTACACCAGTACTCAAAGTTTACAATCTCTTGACAGTTCAGTGAAGTAAATATATACATATTTTTTATATTCCACTTGTTTATACAGGTTCTCATTCAAATCAACTTGCAGCTGAACTTGGCCTGCCAGGCTGGATATTAGCCATAGGTGAATAAATTACTGAAAATATATTGGTCTCATTATCGAATCATCATTGTGAGCTTCCCCGTGAAATATTGCCACACGAAATAAGTAAAACATTGTTTAATAATTTTTTAAATTATAATCACTGGCAATAGTTTTTATAAGCTTACTGTAAGACGGGACGATCAGTGTTGATTAGCGATTTAGTTCTTCCATACAATTAGGCGATTCCGTAACACTTAAACTTTCCCAAGGTATGGTAACCCTTCTCATCAAATTTTGATTGAACGTCGTAATCTGTATCTCCAAACCTGAGCTGTTTAACCGGCAGATGTGTCTTGTTGGTAAGGACACCACTATCTTCGCGCCATTCATCGTCATTCGCACAACAGTTACAGGAGCATTTTATTGACGTATTGGGTTTTGCACATGTGTCGTTCATTCCGCATGCGCACATGTGTCTTTCAGGTGCCGCACCACTCCAATATGTCATTTCTTTCGAATCACGTGAAACCCAAAAGCCATCTGTCAATGTAGAACCTCTACACTCGTACCTTAGGAACTGCTCACACTGTTGGGAAACGTTGATGAGACTCACAAGTTGAGAAATGTTCGCTTCTCTGTAGTGTATGTCGCGAGAGTAGGTTTCCCCGGTTTCATTTTTGTCCACTAATGTCCTGCTCTCGCTGTCGTGACTTATGACAGTCACGCCAACTCCGCCTTTGTCACTCATGTCACAGCTGACGTGGTAAGGTAGCAATTCTCCTTCACCATCAGGATCAATCAGACAGATTCCACTTTTTGCCTTAGGATCAAGCTTCTTTAAGTCACTGCAAGATTTTGATAAAACTGTGAAAAGAAATGAAACATTAGAGTGAGAAGTCGGCCAAGTTGTATGAGGAATTTTTTTTATTTAAAAAAACAAGGAAGGTATCGACTCAGCCATCTGAACTCTCAAAGTTCCTCTCTCCACTTTCGAGTGCAAGGAGGTATCAGAAAATGTTACGGAAACATGTCCCTGAATGAGGAATTATATGTTATGTACTAGTAGGAGTGGCCATAGTACACACAGTCTCGTGAGAACAAATTTAAGCCTGTGAGTGATTCTCAGAAAGAGCCCATTTCATCGTTCCAAATGAAATTCTGTGTCTGTGGAAGACGAAGTGATCGAGTACAACTAATTCCTCACATTTGTAATTAAATATAATCTTTTGTCTCACAATTTTAGTAACTATGTAGTCACGCGTTGGTTACACTGACAAATGCCAGGCGAATCAATTTGACAGGGTTGATGTTTTCAGTTTGATTCCAAGCGACTATGGAGGTTGACGTGACTTTTCTCGTGGTTTGAGTTTTGAGGACTCAGTGACTTTTTGTGTACATCAACAAATGTCCTTCTATTTTGAGAATATATGTTGATCACAAATCAGGGCCAACTAAATTTTCAAAATCACAAATTTTAAAGTACCACTGCAGTTTTCTCCAGCATATCCGGGAACACAGACACATCGAAACCCTTTGCTGGTGAAACCAACTTGGCAAGTTCCGTTATTCACACAGGGGCTGCTAATACAGGGATTCTGTTGAGAAGAAAAAACAACGCTCTGATTGAAAAAAGAAGACAAACATATTTTTTATCTATTCATTCATACTTGCCATATTATAATAAAAATTTACAAGGAAGCATGACATGCTACGTTAAATTATAATAATGTGTATGGCGAGGCTTGTATAAGGCTGGTTTTCCTCCCAAAAGAACAAATATACCCAACGTATATGGAGTAACATTGAACAAGACGTAAAGGTGTGAAGCCAGATTTTGATGGAAGAAGGAAAAGCAATAAAAATGCTGGTCTAAAATGATTAAGTTCCGAGCATGTGTACATGTGGTAAACACCAACGCTCTTCGAACACAATTTTAGAAACGAATTTCCTAGAAAGCCTTCATATTACAAACTTAGGTGATTATGCTGGTTTTTTTAAATTGTTTCCCGCCAAATTATTTTATTTGCCTAACAAACGTAACAGTTTACCGTCAAAACTATGATCCTGAACTTTCTTATGAGGAATCAGGAGGGGCTTTTCCCTGTTTCACCGGAAAGCATCTTGTTAATTCTTGGGGTGAATCATTCTTTCTTTAATATATAAGCGAAATCGCCGGAATAAGTCATCAGATATGTAGTTTCAATTGTTTGCCAGTTTTGGTAGATCGAAATTTAAAGTAAAAACATTTCTTTGTTATTTTCTGAGGGAAACCTCAACCCCACCTATATCATTATCAATTCATTTAAATTTCCTGAATTCCAACTTGATGCTCTTTTCGAAGAGACGAGTTTCTGACAAAGGGTGTACATGTTACTTTTTCAACAAAAGGTCAATTTTTCATCGTTGATTTCATAACCCTTTCACTCCTAAGATTCCATTAGTAATTCTCCTTACTGTCTGCCATACAATTCCTGTAATGTTAGTTCTGAGAATTTGGTATTGAATCAACTAATAATCCTCTATCGGATTTTTTTTTATTCTCATCACTTGTCTGTTTGATAATGTATTGCTTTGGTAAAGAGAAATTCTGTTTTGGTCACTCATATGAGTTAAAGGGTTAAAGAAAGAAACGGTTTATTATGCGTCTTTGAATTCTTCTCTTGTGAAACTTAACTTGAAGTAAAGCATTTACCTCAATAGCTAGGTAGTAAGCATCCGTTTCCTGAAGGAAGGTCAGTTTACTTTCATCAACTGTGGCGTTATTTAACTCACATTTGTACTTTCCTCCTTGCAAAGGTTGCACATTTATGGAAACACAGTTAGGCTCCATATAACACATCGTGCGACAGCTCCCCTCACTAAGGACTTCACCACTCCTGATCACATGTCCCTTAATTGCCATATTTGGTATCGGTTCCTCAAATAGGATGATGCGACACTCGTCTGCTGCAAAAAAAGAAAAAAAAACACTTAAAAGGGGAAGAAGCAAAGTAAAAAAAACTTTCAACTTGGGCTTTTAAACCCTTTTACGAAACGTCTACATTAACCGTTTTTGTTATTTGTTCCCAAACAATTAAAAATAAACATTTGCTGGAATTGTTATTTGCAGTTTTGAAATAAAATATTGTTGTTATTGTTGAATTGTTATTCGCAGGTTTAAAATATTAAAACTCTCAATTTTTAGCCTAGAGTAAGTAAACGGGAAAACGAGCCAAGGGATTTCTTGGCGACGAGTGTTAAAGTTTAGATGTTCAAATTTACAATTCACGGTGGGGACAATTGATTGGTGCATGGTTTTGGTTATTTTTGTCATCGGTTTTACGATTTTTGTTATTCGCCTGCTTATTTTTCATATCATCGCCTCATCATTTCAGTCAATTTGCCTAAAAAATTTGGATTAAAATTCTTCACCTACCAAGATCTATTTCTTGTTGTTCGGTTGTAGTAGAAATTCGTGGTTGGTGTTCTAGTCTCCGTCATGTGCAGGAAATAACACCTTCTTTCACAATTTTTAAGGGGAAAATTATTAATAGCAAACAGTTTAAATTTTGGGGAGCTTGATAAATAAATGAGTGAAAATAGGCTGAAGATACCATTTCTTTATCAACAAAACATGCTAATAAAGCATTGCTTCCGCGGTATGTCCCTACCTGTACAGCCTTCACAAAAGCAAAATATGATTCCTGAGAAAATGACAAAGACAGAAAGGAATAACGACGTCCCAGAATCAAATTGGTACATAGACGCCATTTAAACCTTTTCTTTCGGTCACAGCTTGAAAGCGTCAACTTAAATGAAGGTTTTAGCTTTCTTCTGGCACGAATAATGACAAGAGTACTGCTTCGTGGACTATACTGTTATTGTTTTGGCGAAGCCTCACGAACATATAGATAGAGTTCCTCTTTGTTAATTACCGCTCCTTTTGAAGTTCAAATTTTTTAATCATAGGCCACTAGGTTATGGACAGATGTATGCACGCCCACACTTTACCGCATAACTTGATAGGCCTCGGTTTTCATGCAACTAAGAAGACATGCGTCACGCGTGCCGCCTCAGTAAATTATCAGTGGTTACTTAGTTCAAATTTCCTAAACTGAGTGGTTGACGAGTGTACGGATGCTGAAATACGAATATCACCTTTAAGACAGTTGAAAATTCCAGTGAACGTCGTTGTCTTACCGCCGTGAATTTATTTCATAAAGGAGAAACTGCCTCCCACGATCGAAAGAATGTGTTTGATAAAGATGCCATTATAATTTTTAATGCTTGCACCTCTACAACAAAACATTTTACATAACAAACACCTGAACCGCATGATACAAATGTCATCTGATCCTACCGAGAAACCGTGAGTTTACTCTATTTGGTGTTCATTGCACTAAGTTATCAAATTCTAACGTTACTTACAATTAACAGAAAACCTCTCTGCAAATCAAATGGTATCCCAAGGTGGATTATTTTTGTTTCTTTTTTTAAAAAAATGCCTACAAACTGAATTTCAGTCCTAGGTAATCTTGAAAAGTAACGTATTTCCCATTTATCTCAATTTGTATCAAAGTTTCTTTTACAGAGCTAAGAAAAAACATCTCTGTTTGTTGTGCAGAGAATTTGAACTCCCCTGTTTTGCATCTCTTTATTAGGTTCTTCAATTAAATGAAAGAAGCAGGTGATTAATAATTTGTGACTATTTTTCTCACCGTAACTCTACACATGATGCTTTCGGAGGAACTTATGCTTCTCTCTATAACCGCGGGAACATTTAAGATTAAAATCATATAACCAATTTCGACAAGGAAGTACTTGTTGCTTGGTAATTGAGCTTAATTGTTAGCGTAAATGGAGCAGAGAATTTAAACGCAACAACGGCTCCAGGAGGGTTTGATATTGTGTTTGTTGATTGTGTTTATTGATATTTGTGTTTTGTTTGAGTTGGTAATTGAGCTTAATTGTTAGCGTAAATGGAGCAGAGAATTTAAACGCAACAACGGCTCCAGGAGGGTTTGATATTGTGTTTGAAAAACAGGAGAAATTCTCTTTTTTTTTTTAATCTTTCTTCAGAATGAGACACGCAGGACCGCTCGTGCGTTTTAAATATGAATATGTTTGTTGAAGTAACTTTTTCCCACCCTTCTCCTCGCGCGTGTAATACCCCACGCGTCTCGCATTCCCTCCGCTGGCCTGAGACACGCAAAAAAAAAAAAAACAAACACGACTTCTGTTTGATGAGCTTCTCGAATTTTCAGAGAAGAAACATGTCTTTCGTTGCCCAACGATCGAGCTTAAAAATCATTTATCAGATTTCCTTACTGTGACCAGGTCCTCCATATTTCAGTGTTAGTTATCTTAATCACATGCATGTTATTGCAAATGTTCGATAAAACTTTACTACTAGTAGTTGGAGATCTAAAAAGTGTTCATGTAAAGGAACTTCGGTTAATATCAATGTGGAGGAAATGAAAAGGCTGCTGTTTTCACAAACTTACTTTCAGAATAACGAAAAGAAAAGGAAAAATACACACTTACCAGAGCAACCATGGCAAAGTTGAAATACGACTCCAGATAAAAAGCAGAGGAAAGAGGCTGCAGTCAAGATATCAAGCTCAAACTTTTTCAGAGGATGCATGGTTCAAAATATAGCTGCGAGGGTAGTCGATTACAACGGTATAAAAGCAATAAACCAACTGAACTCAATAAAACTGCGACAAAGTCAGATATAAAAATGTTTATCAAACTTCACACCATAGACAGAATTCTTGCTGTTTTGAACAGTAATTGAAGTCTGTACAGTTTTTGAAAATGATGAATTATTCGTTCTTATTATAAGTAAATAAACGATCTTAGCAGGTGCAATTAAACCGGGCCCAGAGATGAGTAAACTATTTTAGCTGATAACTTAAGCACCGACAAAACAACATACATTAACGGAATAATTAATTCTCTCAATCCTGAGATCTCCGACCTGGTTTTCCCTTTTTTGTTACCATATTTCTTTGTTGGCTAGTGCTGAGAACTTAGGGTTGAGTTCATTCAGGCAATATCTCGTTGTTTCTTTTTCATTTTTTCATGCAGTAATTCTTTACCTATCGACTCTAGCTATAGAGTGTGTTGAAATTTTAAGAAAAGCCTTAAGTAGCGATCATTCTGTGAGTAAAAGGTATACAGAATTTCAAACCCAGTCAATAATTTTTGAAAATTTTTGTTTAAATTTCAAAACACAATGGCTTTTAGTTTAATTCATTTCAATAAAAAACAGAAAAGATGCTAATTACTTAAATTTCCATAAAATGGTCATTAACTAAAGGGGATGTTGCCAGGTCTTGGCATCGTTCGTAAGAGTCTTATCATCCTGCAATTGAAATAAACTAAATTTGGATAAAACAAGGTGGATACACATGAAGCAATTTAACCTCCGGAGCAGAATTTCAAAAGTTTAACCTGTTTGTAAACTTAGAGTCCTTACAGTTCCTAATTTACATTCCATTTTTTTAAAATTTCGCTGCTTCCATTATTTGGCGAATTATAAAGCTACAGTTTCACTCCGGCTTTTCTGTGACCGATCTACTAAGCTTAAGGGGGGTAATCAAACTCAGACACAACTCAGGCTCGTAAGATATTCGCTGATACGAGGGGCTAAAGCTTAAAACTTCTCTCTTCTGTTAGAAGACAGGTGCTCCTGTTTTTCTCACGCTATTTAACATCTTCTAAAATCCTCATAAAAAAGATCTGTAGAACGGTAGTTTTTAATTCATAACTATCAAACGAATGATACTTACCATTGCAAGCAAAAACCGATGCTAATCTGATTCCGAGCAAAATACCAAGGACAACAGGAAAAGTTCTCGCTCCCCTCTTGAAATAATCCGAGGAGTCCATTCTTGTGCTAACACTTGAGGGCGCTGGTAAAACAGTTCAAAACACTGCAGCTATCACCTACTTCATACTTAGTAGTTATCACTTCAGACTGGATGAACTTAAAATGCAGCAGGTGGAGTGATTATTTATTGATATGGAATGCTTTTTAAACCACCAGAGTGACAACCGGAGGCCTCCATAAAGTCAACATTTAATTCATTTAATTCAAGGATATTAGGTAATATTCCTAGCAAGACTTAAGAATACACCAATTCCAATAACATTTATTTGCGAATTTTAATTTTTGAATTGAAGTTTATGAATTAAACCCGCCTACTGAGTCATATTAATTTGTTTTACGGAAGTTTCAATTTATGCATCCTTGATGCAATATTTCTTCGTTTTTCAAAAACGAAGTTTTTCCCAAAAGCTATTATGTTTCGGAAATTTCGTTTCAACCTACATAGAACGCGATAGGCGAGAACGTGCGGAACAGCCACAAAAGAGATTCTACCTGTAAAACGTTTTCTTTTTTTTGTTTTTCGAGTCAGAACAAGAAAGTCGAAATTTCGACTGAAAGGGTGAACGCTAATTGGAAGGAGAGCGCCTAATTGAGAGGGGCGCCTATTAACTTAGCGCAGTCAAAAGGAAAAAAATTTAAGAACAGATAACGCATATAAAGGAATTCTGCTTATTCAAGAAATATGTATAATAATTTGTTTATTGTTTATCACCTGAAATTTCTCTAAGCTGCGGCGAATCACCCTTAGAAAATAGTGGGAAAAGGACATTAACTTTACATCTGTACTAATTAAGTATCATAAATAGCAACATGCTTCACAAGCACCTGTTTAAGCCTTAAGCGATGGTGAACAGCCTTGTCAAATATTTTCATTCTTAATGAGAGAATACATAATTCTATCGAGTGATGAATATACTCTGATTTCTTAAAGATAAAAAACATCTTGTATTCGTTTATGACCTGGCTGATCAAGGTATACTAAACCCTTATCGTGGAGGACCTTCGTACCATCACAGTATGTTGCTACAACAATGAAATGTGGATTAATGTTGATTTGCTGATTCGAACAGTTGAGCTACCATTTTAGTTTCATACCAGTAGAAAAGCACTGTTGTTGTTTTTTTTAATCAGGCGAGTCCATAACACTTAAACTTTCACAAAGTATGGTAGCCCACCTCGTGAAACCTCTTATGAACATCGACATCACCAAACCGCAACTGTTTTACTGGCAGATGTTTCTTTTCAGTGAGCAAACCACTTTCCCCACGCCGTTTAAGGTCATTCTTGTCACAGTCACAACGATCACCTCTTTTTGCACACGCGCCCTTCATCCTGCATGCACACTTATCACTATCAGGCGCTGCTCCCCCCCCAAATAAGCCATATTCATAGAATCACGTGACACCCACCAGTTGCGAGTTTGGTTCTGCCTATCATGAAAAATTAAGCCTGGGCACTCGTACTTTATGAACTGTTCACAAAATAAGGAAACTCTGTTTACGCTTGCCAGCTGAGAAAAGGTCGCTCCCGTATAATGAATGTCGCGTGAGTAACAGCCCGGATCCTCACATTCGTCCACCAATGTCCTGTTCTCGCTGTCGTGACTTATTACTGTCACGCCCACTCCGTCTTTGTCACTCATATCACAGGTGACATGGTAAGGAGTCAATCCTCCTTCATCATCAGGATCAATCAAAAAGTTTCCACTTATCGCTTTGAGATCGAACCTCTTTAAATCGCTGCATGATTTTGATAACACTGTGCAGAGAAAAATGCGAAGTGTTATTGAAAATGAGACTCCTGTCATTAGATTGTTTGCCTGAATGTGGCTGACATTAATTTATCGAACATTTCTTTCCAAGAATCGATATTACTTCGCCATAACAGTTGATGTCGTATGTAAGTATAATGTATTAGAAAAAGTTCAACACTGCAAATGTGGTGTTATCCTTTTG